TCATCCTCCTCTTCTCTCCCTTCTTACTTCTCATGTAGCTGTTCTCAATGCCTGCATCTGATTAACTCGGCCTTCTTTCCCACACAGGGCTCTCCTTGCAAACCAGACTAACAAGGCCAAGTGACAAAGTGAATCAGATCCCTCCGAGGTATTTGGCCTTGTTTACCTTGGGCCACAGCCCGAATTTTTGATGCCCTGGGAATGAGGGCACCTGTTTCTTTTCAAGGAGGCTCTGCCGTGAGGCCCATGCAGATGGCAGGGCGGGGCGTTTGCAGTTGTCAGGAGCTGCTCGTACTTGGACCTGGTTCACTAAAAGCTGAATGGGAGACCAAGCAGAACCTGGCGAGTCTTCCAGCCCTCTTTCTGAAGTGGAGGCATTGATGTCGTCTTAGCTTGCACAGTGCAGCACCTCAGAGAATGCATAAGTGTCAGTAAACTAGATTTATGTAGGTTAGTGGAGGAAGAAGAGAGGATACACCTACTACTCTCTCAAGCCTGTATCATGAAAATCATGTTGAGATCTTGAGGCTAGAGCTTTGTAAAAAAAGATATATATATATGTGTGTGTGTGTGTGTGTGTGTGTGTGTGTATACACATATATATATTCGAGACTCATTTAACAGAAAATATATATGTATATATATATACATATATATATGTATATATATATATACATATATATATATATGAAAAAGGTAAGTGAGAAGTGCAATAATTAGTAATAGAAAACAGGCACAAAAGGATGCAATGGATAAATGCATGCAAAATTATAGACATGCTTAGCTTGTCTTCCCTAAAAGACAAGATAAAGCATTCAAGCAGCTTCCTTTTTCTGCTTGGAGGATGGAAATGTAGTTATAGGGTGATTTTAAAGGAGTCCTTTGAATAAACCAACAAGTTTTTATTGAACACCTGCCCTGTGAATATCCTTCAGCACTGTTGAGCCTGCAGTAGCCACCAGGCTGGAAGAATCCCTGAATTATCAGAGATCTGTTGTAGGCCCTGCTGGAAGCAGACAGAGAGGCAGAGTTGATGAGACAGAGGTCCCCAGCACTGGTTTTGGTTCTTAGGCCTATGAATTTTCAAGGGAGAGTATACACTAAAGGAGAATGGCAATTTGGTGAGACTTATGGTATTCTGTAGCAAGTATGAATATGACCACAAATTCAGGAGCATAAGAAATATCCATTTCTTCTAATTAAAATAAAAATTTTAATTAATTTTTAATTAAAGTTACAATTAAAATGAAACCTGGCTCTGAATCACCCTTCCCCATCTCCATCTAGAGATAAGTTTATTCTAAGCTATCATTGGTGCATTCCTCCCAATACAGCCACCACCATCAACTGAGATCGGACAACAATCCAGGAGGCCTTGCTGGCGCCTAGAAAAAGGCCCAGGCCTCTGGTATTCACTCTCCGAGCTCTCTGCCCACACCCCGATGATCTGCCTCTGCGCAGGCACGAAAGGCTTTGCACGTACAGAGTTCCTCGGGAACTTGCCTCTGTGGAACCTTGACACTGGGTCAGTCTCCTGGGAGCACCATGGCACACTGAGTCCCTCTGGGCTTCGCCGCTGCCATGGGAACGACCCAAGTGTTCGGTCTTCACCCAGCCCAAGGCTTCACTCGCTTCCTCCTCCTCTTGGCTGCCTCGAATTCACTCCCCTCACTCCTCTCCCAGTGTCACCTCTTCAGTGAGATCAATCTTCCCTGAAAGACAAGATAAAGCATTCAAGCAGCTTCCTTTTTCTGCTTGGAGGATGGAAATGTAAAAGGCCTCATTAACTTCTTAAAACTGGAGAAGGGAGCAGAAGGAAGAGAAATGTTAAAAATGCAATGCAAATTAGGATCTCACTAAATCATCCTATGTCATTTATAGAGAGGCAGCACAGAATGGGGATTAAATGCTTGAAATCTTGGTTCTCCTTCTTGCTATCTATGTGGTCTTGCCTCAGTTCCCTCATTAGTAAGACAAAGATGGTAATAACAGTACATATCTGGGAGTGTTGCTATGAGATTTCAATGAGTCAATACATGTACAGCACTCAGCACCATAGGATGAGGCACCGTAGCAGTTATTAATTGTTAACTGCTGTTATTACTATAACTCTAGTCTCATTGATGCAAGTACCGACCCTCCCCATAGCACATCTCAGTGCATTACTACACCAACCATGTCTCTTTTCCATCTCTACAATCAATTAGCGAGGAAAAGAAAGGAAGGGATGAGGAAAGGAAAACTCATCCTGTGCTAAGTACATTGACAGAAGTGTGGGTTCTGATCTCTGTCTGCCCCACATGCCCAGTCCACCCAGAAGAAGGGAACATTCTAGCTGTGATGATGTTGCCGATAGAATGATTTCAGGAATCTTATGAGAAGGGCAGTGGAGCGTACTCTCTGCAGATGGAGCTTGTCGCCATCAGAGGTGTGCACTTTGTCAGGGGAAAGAGCGCTGGACCACCAGTCTTCCCTAGCTCATCAGCTGGCATCATTTCTCAACTCTTAGGTGTCACTTCCTCACAGATGTCCTCTCTGCCCCCTAATCTAAATTGGCTCTTACCTGTTATTCTCACAGTTCCTTGTTTTTATTATTAGCCTTTATTCAATTTTTAATTATGGATACTTGGTGTCTTTGTTTAGTGTTTTCTTTCCCAGCAGATTATATAGCTCTAGAGGGCAGGGATTAAGTGTGTTTTATTGACCGAGCACAATCACTTAACTTTAATTTTTCAATCTATGAAATGAGGATGGTGATACTGCTCTTGCCTACCTCACTGAGCTGTGAAATTAAAAAAAGATAACATATGTGAAACTCCCTTGTAAACCATAAAACATGACACAAATATTAGTTATGCTCAGTGCCATGTCTATTTGAATGTACATCACAAGCCGAACACTTGGGAAATGAGTTCCTAGACAGATTAGCGTTCTGTTAAATGAGGTAACAGAGGAAAGTGCTTAGGACAGGATGCACCCTGATAGCTCTTCCTGTCTAAAGTCGAAGATGGCAGTCCCAACCTCTAAAAATATCATGTTCACTTCATCCATCCATAGTAGGCTTGTAATGGTCGAGCAGGAGCACACCCGTGGCTGGAGATGTCTAAACACACAGGACAGTGAGTCACCCGGACCCCACCAATTCTGTATACTAAGAGAGGCTTTCAGGTTAGTTCCCAACTAAGATGTTCCTTTCCTACCACAAGGCAAGGATGGTGAGTATGACACCTTCCCCTGCCACATGGCAAATAGACTGCAGAAGGAGGGAAGCCATTTCTGAAAAAATGGCTGTGTCGCCAGCATCTCACAGAGAGCAAATGGGAGGAGCATGAATCCCCTAAGTTCAAACACTGCACAGATGTATGCAGTATCACATTCAGGACAGGGAGAGCTGCGGCAAGAGGGATGTAGTTAACAAGTACATTAGTCTTGGTCTGAGACTCTTTTGCTTTTGTTGGACTAACCAGGAAACGAGAAACGATCCATCCTCATGGCCAGTTCGGTGCCTGAATCACCCAGGCTGGGAACCTAAAGATGAATGGTGTTAAACCACTTGGTTAGAATGGACCAAAACAAACACATTTTCCTCCACTAGGCTATTCTTGGGTTTTGTCTATTTCTTAGGGAGGCAGGACAAGAAGTTGACACCATAATGACACTGGGTATTCCTTGTCATTTGGTGTGCATAATTATTGTGTAATTGACTACTTAGTAAGCTGCAGAGTTCATTTGCACATTTTGTGGATTCCCTGGCTCTCCAGGCCCCCAGATGCCCTGTTGTTGGCAGAGAGCCCAGTTTCCCCCAGACTCTCAGCACAGGCCCGAGTGAGCTTTACTCGTTGTGTCATTATGCAGCTGTGATGGCCTTGAACGGAAACAAAGTTGTGCAGCGAGTCCAGGAGAGGTAAGGTAACAGAAAAAAGTAGGATAGGGAACAGGTCAAAGGGAATAGAAATAGGCCCTAAGGGCGGGGTGGGAAGGTGGACCAGACACTGGATCCACAAGAAGACAAAGTCCCATCACAGGTGCATGTCAAGATACATGAACAAAGACCAAGGCTGAGAAAGTAGAATAAGCAAAGGTCACACACGGTGGGGCACAGGAGGAGGTGGATGGCCACACATGCCAGGGAGGTGAGAATTAGAAGGAGAAGGGGAACAAATCTGTAATGAGTCTTTTAAAAAATCTTAATTTGTTAAACAAATGATTGCCAGTAGCATAATTCTTTTATCTTAACCCTCAAAAGACTGGGGTTAACTTTACTCTTACCTTTCATGGGACTGTGGCCACCGGAAAAGGCTTCTGTCAGGCCGGGTACTGTAGGCGTGTCTGTCCCCTTCTCCACACCCCACCTCCCATGCCCCGTGTTTCCTGTTCCATCTAATTTTTCCCAATCATAATCCACTTGGTGTGAAAAATGGGCTGTCACAGAGGTAAGTACAGAGCATGTGGGGTGTCAGAGAGAATCAGAAGCTGGGAAGTCAGGGGAGGCCTTTGGAAACCTGTTGCTTATGTGAAGGGACAACTTGGAGCAGGCTGTGGCTGGGGTGCAGTGGGCAGAGACCAGGCCAGCACTTTGTGCTTGAGGGCCAAGTGAGAAAATAAAGCAGCACAGGCAGGGCCTGGGGCAGGGCAAACACAGAACCAGAGGCTGAGGGTGAGGAAGGTGCAGGCATCTAACCTCACCATTTTGCCAAGGGCAGGCTCTGATCTGTAGGAACACGTTGGAACAGCTCCTCAAAGAGAAATCAGGCTCGATCTACCCTTCTCAGTCCCGGGAGGAAAGCGTTCACACCCTCACCCCACACTCCACACCGCAAAGGTAAATATGAGGAGTCCATGAAAGGAAGCAGGGAATTAAAATAGATGCGTGAAAGCGAAAGCGGAGTCTGAGACGGTGAGCACCAAGTCAGTGGCGTGGGAGGTGGAGGTGTGAGTTCCTCTGCTGCGGAGACAGAGGGGAGCATTGTGTAGCGCGCGCTGAGCACACTGGCCTCCCATCTCTGGGTATGCTGCCGGCCCTGGGAACATGCACGCACTCCTTGCCACTCTTCTCCTCGCTGCTCTGCCACGGGTAAGTTCTCTCTCCTCACCCCTTCCCTTCAGGAGACTACAGCAGCTCATATTTCTGCAGGACAAAAATAGGGAAGAAGACGACGGGGGAAGAGGAGACTGAAGTCCTTGTGAAACTCCTTCATGAGAAATAGGGAGCCATTTTCCTCTCCAAATAAAGTTCTGTTTCAGTTTATTAGCTTCAGGAAAGAACTGGAAAACATTTCTGCCGTTCAGGTAATGGCACGGAATCCGACTTTCGATATGTTTGAACAGCTCCCAAACTTTAATCATATAGATGTAAATTGGGGTATGACACGCAGCATGTACTTGGGAAGCGGCAGCCCTGCCGGGCGTGGAGTAAACGGTGCCTGTTCAGGTGGACTCCAGGCTGGGGCTCAACTTTCCGTAGTCGTGTGCAAAATGTGCAAAGAGCCATTGGAAAAAATGATTGTGGTAACTTTCTTCGGTCAAGCCTGTTCTTCTTTAAAAGAAGCACTTTGGAACAAACATTTACATTTTGAAAACATCCTATGACTTTGTCTTTTCTCAGCCCATGTATTTCTCAGTTTTCATGAAAATCAGTGCACGGAGACTTTGAAATATTTCAGCAGTGGACCAAAAGGAAGTTTAGTTTAATATGAGTAATTCATTGCCTTAGTATTTTTAAATAAGATTAAAACAGGGTGACTTATTTGTGGATTTATTTACATGGTGGAGGTAATGGCTTGCACAGAAGACAGAGCTTTTGAAATCTTCCTGTGATCTAGAAAACACAAAGGTGTCAAGTTAACTGTTTAATGGGGTGGTTAGTAATAGATGTATCTTAGGAAACACAGGATAGAAAATTGTTATACAGACAGAAATTTAAGATTTTAAAAGCATGATAACAAGAATCTCAGTGGCACAGTTTATTCCCACTGTTACGTGAAGGAGTACATTTCCCCTTCTCTTATACCACCATTTTCACTGTGAGAAAAGGGCTGCCATTACTGCGGATTCAGAGCTACAACATATTTCTAAACAGCAAATATCTCAACATAGATGTGCCTCCAATAAACAAACAAACAAACAAACAAACAAACAAACAGAAAAAGGTATTATAGGTAGAGCAAAAGAAAGTATTATTTACTTAACTTTGCCATTATAAATTTTTGAAGGTTCTGATCATACCTACCATTTATTGAATATCTGCTATGTGCTGAGCACTGTACTGGGCACATTAGTCATTATCTTAATCCTCAAAACAACCTTGTAAGTTTATTAAGCCCATTTTACAGAGGAAGACTAAGGCTCAAAGAGCAAGCAGATGATAGAAAAATTATCTAGAATCAGAGAGCTATATATAGTAAAGCTCAGGCTTTGTTGCGAAAACCTTCATTTTCTATTGCAGTATTTTGATGATTCGTTGTTTTGAGACTGATTTTGAAAACACTCAAAATGCCTTAAGAAAAGAAAAATATCCAACTCTTTATATTTAGTCACATATTTGCCCTTTATGTCTATTGTAATTTCAGATTGAAGTTTCTGTTGTTTTTTTTTTGTTTGTTTTTGTTTTGTTTTTAGTATTTCTTGTGAGACAGGTATGCTAGCGACACTTTCAGTTTTTATTTATCTGGAAATGTCTATAATTTTACCTTCACTTTTGAAAGATAGTTTCACTGGAGATAGTGTCCCCCCCCCCACCCCTTTCAGCATTGTCTCTGGGCATCTTGTTTTCCTTTTCTTCCTCTTCTTCTTCTTCTTCTTTCTTTAAAAGTGTTAAGTCACAGCAAATTTGAAAGGAAGGTGCAGAGAGTTCCCATATATCCCCTTCCCCCACACATGCATAACTTCCTCCATCATCAACATCCCCCACCAGAGCGGTACATTTGTCACAGTTGATGAACCTACATTATTACCCAGAGTTCATAGTTTATATTAGGGTTCACTTGTGATGTTACCTTTCCAGAATGTCATGTACTTGGAATCCTACAATCTGTAGAACTTTCAGATTGGCTTCTTTCACTTAGTAATCTGCATATTTTTTTTTTTTTTATGGCTTGATAGCTCATTTCTTTTTAGCACTGAATAATGTTCCATTGGCTGGCTGTACCACAGTTTATTTATCCTAAAGAAGGACCTCTTGGTCTCTTTCTTTGATGAGAAATCAGATCTCATTCTTATTGTTATTCTCTTGTATATAACACTTTCCTTTTCTCAGGCTGCCTTCAAAATTTTCTCTTTATCATTGGTTTTCAATAGTGTTACCTTGTGATCTCAGAGATTACATAGAAATGCTTTAAGACAGGAAAAATAAACAGGTGTCTTCAGGTGGGCAGTTTTGGGAGTGGGCATTTCAGTAAAGAGGGAGCAACATAAAGAAAAACATGGAGGAGAAAATCGATCTGGCGAGTCTAGTAAACTGCAAGGCATCAGAGAAGAGTGCTTGAGAGCTAAGGCAAGAGAAGAAGGCATGAACCAGCACAGACAGTGCTTTAGATACCATGTACAGAAGTTTGGACTGTATACCATAGACAGTAGATAATAACCAATGGGCTTTAAGGAGAGTAGTAAAGGCAGATATGTTTTTTAAAGAGCTCCCTCCAGCAGTGATGTGGTAGATTTACCTGAGAAGTCATTCTTGAGGGAGGAAGACCAGTTCAAAACCTATTGCAGTAGTACTTAGTAGCAGTGAAAATGGGGGTAGAGTAACTAGTTCTAGGGATATGAGGACAATACGTAGGATTAGTCATTGAATGGCTATGGGAGATGAGGGAGAGGAGGATGACATGGATAAATCCTAGCCTCCTAACTCTAAAATTGGGAGAAGTTGTCTGGGGGTAGAGGAGGGGACAGTGAGTTTTGGACGTGAGCTTTTCCTATAGGATATTCGAGTGAAGACATCCAGTAGGCAGTCAACTGTATGGGTCTAGAGCTCAGTGGAGAAGTCTTAAATGGAAATTTAGTTTTGAAGCTTGCATAGGATGGAAATTGAAGGCAAGGGGTGGATAACATTACCAAGAGACAATGTGCAGAGTGAGAAAAGCAATACGTTAAGGCCACGAAATTCCAATAAGCTTAAATCTAAGTCAAATCCAGGGTAGCAGGAGCCTGAAAAGGAGATTGAGAAAGTACATTGAGAGACAGAGGTAGAACTGGGAGGGCCTGGTGTAATGAGAGCCAAGAACAGGGAAACAGGAAACACAGAAGTGGAAAAGGGAGTAGAAATAGTGAGGCTGGAAATAATGAGTGCCTGCTTCTCAGTTTTGCACAGAGGTGGTTACCAGGGACTTCTTGCCAGGTTAGGTGGCTTCTAAGCTAGGCGCATGTTCGCGGAGTCTCTAGGTCCTTCCCTGGCCCCCACTCCCAAGGCATTTGACTCTTTTTTAATCCTCTCTTCTTGGATTAGGACATCTTCGAGAGGACCATTGTTATACTTATTGCATGGGATAATAACTACTCCATTCTGTTGTTGTGAAGATTAAACGATGAAAACATAAGGTTCTTGGCATATAGACAGTACCATTTTCTTTCATTCAGTAAATATTTGTTATAGAAAATAAGACAGACTTTAGACAAAGACATCCAGTAGGCAGTTTTGATGAAGCTCACATTCTTGATGAATGACTCAGAAAATAAACAAGTAAAATATATTGGTAATAAAGTAGGCAATAAGAAGGTCTATGAGGAAAGAACCAGGGTGCTATTTCATAAAGGGTGGTCAAGAAGGGCCTCACTGATAAATTTGAACACAGACCTAAGCAAAGTGAAAGAGTGAGCCATGAAGATATCCGGGAAAGAGCATACAAAGAACAAGGAGGCCAGTGTGGCTAGCGTGAAGCAAGTCTTGGGGTGAGTGGTAGTGAGCAAAAGAAGATAGAGACATGGGGTCCAGATGCTGCAGGGACTTGGAGGATAGTTTGGATTTTCCATTGAAGTGGGAAGCCACTCCTTATGAGCAAGGAGTGGCTCCTGCTCTCTTACAAAATGTTGAGTTTACAATACTATATTGTTAGCTACAGGCACTATGCTGTGTAGCAGATCTCCAGAACTTATTTATCTTGCATAACTGAAACTTTGTACCCTTTGACCATCACCTCCCCATTTCCTCTGTATACCCAGGGGCTGACAATCGCCATTCTACTCCCTGCTTGAGTTTGACTACTTTAGATTCCACATATAATTGAGATTGTACAGTATTTGTCTTTCTATGTGTGCCTTATTTCACTTAGATAATATCCTCCTAGTCTATAGATGATGATGCAAATGGTAAGATTTCCTTCTCTTTTAAGGCTGAATAATACTGCCTTGTATGTATATACCACATTATTTTTTATCTGTTCATCCATGGATGGACACTTACGTTGTTTACATATCTTGGCTGTTGTGAATAATGCTGGAACAAACATGGGAGTACAGGTATCTCTTTGAGATTCTGACTTCAATTCCTTCGGATAAATACCAAGAAGTAGAATCACTGGATCATGTGGTAGTTCTATTTTTAGTTTATTGAGGAACGTCCATATTGTTTTCCATAACTGTAATAATTTACATTCCCATCAACAATGTACCAGGGTTCTCTTTTCTCCGACACTTATTATTTTTTTAGTAAAAGTCGTCCTAACAGGTATGAGACAATATCTTGTGGTTTTGATTTGCATTTCCCTGATGATTAGTGATGTTGATCACCTTTTCCCATCCCTATTGGTCTTTGGTATGTCCTCTTTGTAGAAACATCTTTCAGAGTCTTTTGCCCATTTTTTAATTGGTTTATTATATCTTTTGCAATTGACTTGTATGAATTCCATATATATTCTGGATACTAACCTCTTATTATATAATTTGCAAATATTTTCTCCCATTATGTTAGCTGCTCTTTCATTTTGTTATTTTCTTTGCTATGTAGAAGCTTTTTGGTTTGTTATAATCCCACTTTTTTTTTTTCCTTAAAACCATGCTGCTAGGTGGAGAATATAGAGAACAAAAAGGGAATCGAGGAGAAGCTTTAAGACATTCAAGTGAAAACATAATGGTGGCTTGGATAGCTATGGTAGCAGTGGGGTTAAGAAATAATTAGAATAGATATATTTTGAAGCTACAACCAAGAGGATTTGCTGATAGAATTGGATGTAAAATGTGAGAGAAGAGCCAAGAATGACTTGACTCCAAGGTATTTTGGAAAAATAAAATTGGCATTTGTTCAAATGAGGACGTGTATGGAAGTGTAGATTGAAGAGTAAAATTGGAGGTTTGTTTTTGGTCATGTTAAATTTGCTATGCCTATCAAATATCTAAGTGGAGATCCGTTAAGTAGGCAGTTTGAGTCTGAGATCAGAAGAGAGGTCTGGATGGGAGATACACGATACAGTGAAGGAAGATACTTTAGAGGTCTTAACCACAGGGGCACCAATGTTTAGCAGTGAAGAGTATGAGAAGAAACCAGCAAAGGAGACTGAGAAGGAGTCATCAGTGAAAAGGAGTGAGAAAGAGTGACGTGTTAGGAGCTGAGTGAAGAAAAGTTTAAGGAGAGAATGACCGTCTCCAATACTGATAGATATTATTATTAGAACTCACCACACTGTGTTCTACCAATTTGGGGGAAATCTATTTCTATAAAACCTCTGAAATTAGTTTGAGAAATCATTTCTAACATCACCTTTATTATCAAATGAAGTTCTGCTGCAGGGCACAGGGCACTGGGTCATTAGACACACCTGAAGGAAGGCCTGGAGAAGTATCAGAAGTGCATCATCGTAAGCAGTTTTGTCACTGGCCCTGTAAATGCCCTCGGAAGCCCAGCTGCCCTCCTGGAGTGAGCTTGGTGAGGGATGGCTGTGGATGCTGTAAAATCTGTGCCAAGCAACCAGGGGACATCTGCAATGAAGCCGACCTCTGCGACCCACACAAAGGGCTATATTGTGACTACTCAGCAGACAGGCCTAGGTACGAGACGGGAGTATGTGCATGTAAGTGTCTTGTTCTGGACCTGCTGGAAAAGGTCAAGTCTAGACATGATTTTTTTCTGCAACTGTTAACTTGGAATAATCAGCTTATTTTGGCTAAATATGAAGTGAGTTCAGTTTTCATATTAGACTGAAATGGCACTGGCTTTGTCATATTACAAACCATGTGAAATTAGCAGATGTTTATAGAAGTTCAGAAACCTGTTATTTTTATTGCATTGAAGTGATCTTGCAGTTCTCAGGTAGCTGCTTTTAATAAGAATAGGAAAAATTATCTGTAACTAGTAAATAGTCTGACTTCTTAAAGTGCCATAAAATGAGAGCTTTTGTTAATACTGTCAAAAACAATCTGAATTCAGCCTTTTCTGTAACTAAAAAATAATCTTGCTTTAATGTAAAGATGTATATCTAGTATTCAGACATATGGCCTTAACCTCAGCCTTCCCAACTAACCATCAAGAAAACATACTTTTCACTGAAGCAGATTTGTAAAAACAAAGGTAAGAGCACCCCAGATCACAACCAGACCCTCAGCTTTATGGATCTTAGCTATAGAGTCTGATGGAGACCATTTAAACCTAAAACATCTTGATAATAATTCAGGATACTGACCTACTTAGTATTAAAAAACAAAATTTATAAAGGAAGAGAAATATCCATGTTAGCTGGGCAGTTTAGTCACTCTGTAGAAAAGCCAACGTGGGAAAGCAAATTACTCCCAGAAGTTTGGTTGTGAGCGTTGAATGAGAGCACATCTTTGCAGTCGGGTCACATGGATAGAGCCATTCAAGTTTGATAGCCTGATGCTCCTGTCAGCACTGTTTTATTATATTGGTTAAGAATGTAGGCTCTGGGTTCAAATTCTGGGCTCTATGTGCTGAGTGACTTTAATCAAGTTTTTTAACCTCTCTGTGCCTAATTTATATCATATGTACTTCCTATCTTACAGAGTTGCTAGGGGGATCAAATGAGAATAATAACACAAAACCCAAAACACACACTATAATATCTGACATACAGTAGACTCTCAAAGATATTAGTAACTATTCATGGAAACTCAGGGGAAACAGGACCTATTAAACTCCAGCATTCAGGACACCCCTTTTTCTCAAACAGTGCTAGGCAAGTTGTTTCATTAACCTAACAAACACTTAGTGGCTGGGGACATAATGGGGTGGGAAGAAATAGAAGCCCTGTCCTCAGAGTGAAAGTTTGTTGTGTCAGACAGACCTTTGCACAAATAATTTCATATACTGTGAGGAGTATTTTAACAGAGCATAGCCATGAGGATGGGGGTGGGGATGATCTATAATAAGTCACAAACTATGGCTCAGGGGTCAAATCATGGCCTGCAGCTTGATTTTATAAATAACGTTTTATTGGAACACAGCCACATCCACACAGTTACATAGAATTTACCGCTGTTTTTACGATTGCAGAATCCAGTAGTGGTGACAGGGACTGAATGGTCTGTAAAGGCTAAAATGTTAACTATTTGGCCCTTTACAGAAAATTTGCTAATCAATGACATAGATATATGGTTTTTAAATTTTTTGGTCTGAAGACATGGGTCTTAGAAATAAATGAGGACCTAAAGAGCTTTTGTTTATGTGTCTATACATATTTAATGGACTAGAAATTTGAAAATATTTGCTAATTCATTAAAAAATAAAAAACCCATTGCAAATTAATAAATATATCTATGAAAAATTATTTTCCAAAACAAAGGAAAATTTAGTGAGAAAAGTGGAATGGTTTTACGATTTTGCAAATCTAATGTCTAGCTTACCAGAAGATAGCAATATTCTCACATCTGTTTCTGCTTTAAATCTGCTGCTATATGTTATTTTGGTTAAAATATATCAAGGGAATCCAGCCTCACATAGATATATTGTTGGGAAAGAAAGGAATAATATAACAGACTTTTCAGATAATTGTGGATATTCTTTTTTGATATTATATTAAAACTTGAGAAGTAGTAGTTTCTTAAAAATTATTTGTACCATGGAATCTAAAACCATATTAATGAACCATATCAGTGTCAAACTCTGTAATATTAAAATACATTGGTCTATTCAAGACCCACTTGTAATGGGTCTTTACTCATGCCTAATTTTGTAATACTATGCTTTGGTTATTTAGAAAATATCAGTTTGTAAAAATGGGTTATGTAGATGTCCCAAATGTTGATACACTTAGACAATATTTTTTAAAAATTACATTAATACCAATCTCATCAGAAAAGTCTACATATTGGGTAGCTATATAGATCTCAGAGGTAGATACAAGTTTCTTAAAATTCTAATTTTTTCTTGAAAGCTTGAATTCTATCATGGGCAACAAATATTGCCGGTTGTTTTCCTTGAGGTGACAGGTTCCTTAGTTGACATTCAAGAAAATGTCCACCAAATACCCAAGTCTGTCAGTCATTTCTGTCAGTCATTTCTTCAGGTGAAATTCTCATTAAAAAAGTTGTTAGTTCGGCCCACAATTCAAACAATAGCATAAGTGCTTTTCCTCAAGATAACTACTGTACTTTAGTATAATACCTACAGTGATGTTCTATGTACACTTCCTATTGGTCACAAAGAATATTAAAAAAAACTATGTATTTGATGGCTCAAACTTAATAAACTTAGTAATTTTTACTGTCATCAAGGATATTCTTAAGTAAAACCAGATTTTTTGTTTTGTTTTACTTTAAAAAGTACATTTGTGTACAAGTGCACGGCAAGGAAAAATATAGTGATTAACTTGTACAGTATGATTCATGTTAAGGTGCCAACGGCAGTTTTAGCCAACCTTGCTTTTGCACCATCAGTGCAAATATCAACACAGTGAAAAAAAGTGTCACATCTTAGTCTTGACCTTGCAGAGTCTCTGAAAGGGTCTCAGGCACTGCCAAGGGGTCCGCGGGCCACATTTTGAGAACTGCTGATCCATGTCAAGAATGCCCCTCGGAAGTGAAAATTTCCTCCAGTTCTCAACAAAAAATCAGTTACCATGCAGCACTGCAGTTAAACATTATAATTTTTTCAGCCATTTACATATCATAAATTCCTAAGAAAATATCCTAGCCTATTGTTGGACATCTAGGGAAATCTCACCAGCCACCAGCCCCTCTCAGATTTACAATCATTATCTATTTCACTAATGTACTCATAGTGCTTTTTTATTAATTTTACTCTGGAACTGGGCCTGTCCTTGGGTTTTAATACTGGAAGTGATGATTTGGGGATGACAGCCTACAATACAATGAAAATGTCTCCTTTTCACCTTTTACAGATGTTCTGTGAAGGAGATTTCAGGTGGGGACTGAGAAATTGAGAACTTTGTAAAGGAGATGGCAATTTCTTCTATGGTTTATAACTGGAGGTCTAGACTATCAGTTATGGCTTTTTTGGCGATTTTGCTCTTTTCTCCTTTCAGACCTTGTAGCTGTGGGATGTGAGTTCAACAGGGTACATTATCATAATGGCCAAGTGTTTCAGCCCCATCCCCTGTTTAGTTGCCTCTGTGTGAGTGGGGCCATTGGATGCACACCTCTGTTCATACCGAAGCTGGCTGACAGTCACTGCTCTGGAGCTAAAGGTGGAAAGACGTCTGATCAAGCCAACTGTGGCCTGGGACCGTTAGAACAGCAACTCTCAACAACCTACAAAACAATGCCAGGTGCTTTTAAGCAGAACTATTTTTCACGTGTGACTTTTTTGTGGTTTTACTTCATGTTGCATTTATGTACCACAGGCTCTCAGTAAGTACTTTCTCATTGGTGGTCAGTGTGAAATTTAGTTTGAGTGTGCCATTTTACTAGGTCTTTGCCTCAGCAGGTCTATTCTAAGTATCTGAAAAGGAAACTATAATGTTTTAGATTTTTCCAGTAAAATATTTTGGTTTTAAAAAGCTTTACTAGGTCAAGAAAACTCTTTTAAAATCTTACTACCTCTTCTTATTCCCATTCAACCTCTTCTCAGGAAAATCGACCAAATATTGTTCATATGTATCCTGGAATAACTTTTATTTGTATTGTTATATTATGGGAAGACGTGTGAACAATCCAGTTTCAAAAGTTTTCAGAGGCAACTTTTCTATATGATAAAAGCAGAAATGGAAGCCTACTGATTAAAAATATTTGAAGACACGTTTTGAATTTATAAATATTATTTCTAAAAAACAGAAAACTACTCATATAAAATTATCCTTTAATTATCAACCTCTCTCTAATAAACACACACACACACACACACACACACACACACACACACACACACACACACACAGAGGCATTCTTAAGTAGGTTACCCAGGTACGTATAGAGTCGGGAACAAGTAAAGAGATTCTTTTTCATTTTTAGCACCTGGCCATTTAAGGTCAGAATATTCATAAACCTTTTATTATTGTCTAAGCATCTTATTTCGGTGCCAGGGTATTTTGAGGACAGAAGTTTCAAAAATGCCAGCAAATAAAGCACAAATGAAGAAGGACTCAAAAGGGACAAAACTGACATCTGGTTACTATTCACATTTGTGTTTCCATCCAGAAATCAAGAATGCCTTTTTTTTTCTTTAAATTTAGAGCTTAGTGAATGGAAGGTGCCATGGAAATTCAGAATATTTATATATGCTAAAAAACTCCTAAGTTCACCTATATTATGTGAATATTTAATATAAGCAACTATAATCAGAGAAATGAGTTTTAGATATTTAAAAACTAACTCTATGAAAGGAACATCTGTAGGGATTCTAATTATGCCAGTTTTTCTGAAAAAAAAAAATTAACAGGTCATAATGAATTTGTATTTACCATATGCAGTTTTTCAGTTAACAGCATGACATTAATACCTGAAACATCCAAAATTATAAGCCAAATTGTTCTTTCTTCAGAATGTACAAAACAGTCGATTTTCTAGATTAGATCTGAGTGACTCAATATTAAGTTCCTATAACCCATGTGAGAGAGAGACTAACTTAGAGCAGAAGTTTGCCACAAGCAAAGACCTTTGGATCAAGTTCAAGTTGGTCTTGTTTGTGGAGTTAGAGGAGTTTCAGTGGAGTCACTTGTAACCTGGTTGGATGTATCTGATGGTCATTCTTAGTGGTTAGTGCTTTGCTACAAAAATCAAGAAAATCTCTCACTACTCTGGTACTTGAGAGTTAGGCCTGGATGTTTCAAAGAAGTATATGTTAAATCTAACGTCTCTCCTCTGCTTAACTGTGAAACTGTATTTATGGGCCCAAACAGGAATCCGGCTTTTAAAATTAAGCACACTGACAAACACACACTTTATGTCTATAGTGATTTACATAGTTAATTCCAGGTAGTTTATGGTTGGAATCTAGCTTTTGCTTGGTCAGTATAAAGCATGCAATGACATAATGCCCCCATGATTTTCTCACTGCTCACCAACCACTAAACTTTTACTTAAAAAATCTCTTCTAATTCTCTTGCTTTTTAATGAATGTTAAGCAAATTCCTGAACTGCAGCTCTTGGCTTAACTTTAAGTTGGGTTATTGGTAATACGATAATCTAACCTACTTTTATTTATTGCAGATGTGTGCCAGGCTTTTAATCTGCTTCCTGCATTGAGATCTTTAAACTGTTGTCTACCTTCCAGGTATCTTCATGTTTCTGCTTTCTCTCCTTCAGTTCTACATGCAATTGCAAGATCCTACTGTAATAATGCTGAAAGCAGTATCAAAATATAATTTTACTCAACATAGCACATACTTCAAAGACTGATATTTCTTATCAAGAAGGCATTTTTGGGGGTCTTTTTAGAGTTTTAAACTGACATTTTGAAGTAACATAGCCAGAATTTTGCAATGTTCAACTGCAAACTCACATCACAATCTTATTCCAAAAGCATCCTTTTTAGGATTAAACTTAAGGAAACATTTTGAGACGATAAACCAATATGTAGCTTGTTTAAAATGAGCCAAGGGCCTGCTTCATTCCTAAGCAGAACAAGAAGCTCCCAATGGATTTACAAGGAGATGGAAGAATTATTATACCCTCTTTGTATTTTCTTTGTATTCTCATTATTCGGTCCCTCCTCCTCCCTTGTTTTTCCTAAGCAGCAGGCAGTAGAGGGAGCTCCATCCACCCACCCACTTACCCATTCATCCATAGATCTACTTATCCATTCATTCCCTATGTCTTTCTATAAATGATTTAAAATGGCTAACCAATGGAGGAAATAGGAGCCTGCTACCATAGGGAATGTAACAATTAAGCTGAATGAATAAAATAGATTACACATTTGCCATGATTTAGTATATGATTATTTAGATTAGTTTACTGTAATATAATTTTCTAAAAGACTAGATTAAAACAATTGAAGGAGAATAACTGGCCTCATTGATTACCTAATTCTCAAGTATAAATTTTGTATTTTAGATTTTAATATATTGAGAAATTTAACATTAAGACCACATCATTCTGATCGATATCCTGAATTCCCTAATCCTACTAATGTCTATTTTAATGTCTGTTGGAAATAATACCATGAGGCAAGAACCAGAGAAAAGGTAGATATCTATCAGAACATAAGCTTAAGTTTAGTACTCAGAAGATGGGCTAAGCAGAAAGAACCAAATGGGTACGTCTATTCAGTTTTTTAAAGATAAAATATTTTTATTCCTCTTAAGAAATTGAACTCTAACACTTGACTGAAAGGTAATTTGTGGAGTAGGAAAAAGAGAATGATGAATTAGACCACATTTTTTTTCTGAATTACATAAAGGTTCAGATCTATTAACTATTAGTTTAAAAATAATCTATCTCCATGAGTACATCTATATGTATACACATGTACTTTCCCCCCTTTATTTTAGCTTATAGGAACCTTCCACTTATTTGGAAAAGAAAATGTCTTGTGCAAGCAACAAAGTGGACTCCCTGCTCCAGAACATGTGGGATGGGAATATCTAATAGGGTAACCAATGAAAATAGCAACTGTCAAATGAGAAAGGAGAAAAGACTGTGTTATATTCAGCCTTGTGACAGTAATATATCAAAGACAGTAAAGGTAAAGTTTAATTAAACTTCATTATAATTCAAGAGACTCCTGAAAACTTTGTATGTTTTGGAATGATGAATAGTATTCGGTTCTTATGAAAATAAAATCACCTCATTGTAACAATTAAAGTCAAACTATCTCAGAGGAAAGCAGATATTATTCTAACTGCACTTTGTGGGGAAAATTTACCAAGCGCAGAGGTAATGTTAACCTGTTGATTCTAGATACTCTATCAGCTTAATAGTATGGGTCTTGATCAGTCTGAATTGTTGTGGTACTCCACCATCTATACTGTTTTTTAAGAGTAGATCCTTTTCAGATTCTAATTTCTTTTTTTCTATACTAATTTTATGTTAGTAGAGTCAAAGCAATGGATAAAAATTTTTGGTATTAACATAATTATGAGAACAGACACGGACATCAGAGAAGTTCTGATCTTAGTTATATATTATCAACTTGGAGGGGAACCACACCATTTCCAAAATGCTTAGATAGTAAACTTGCCAAAGGCCAATGATAAAATACTTACTCTTAAGATTGTTTGCTGTAACTAGAGCTGGTCCTATTTCTAGAATTACACAGGATGACTGTCTCAGAGTAATTTTTAGAAATGCTGCAAAACCCTTCTCATCTCTAAGTTATTCCCTATCATATTAGAAGTTAATTCAATTTTAAAGGGATTAATATATTTATTCATTTATCCATCTACTCAAAACTGTCTGAGCTGTACAAGGAAATTTGCTAATTCATAGGTAAATAAACATTTAATAAGACATAGCCCTTGATATTAAAAAGAGTTTCATTTATTGTGGAACAAAGTAAAGGATACACAAATCATTGGGGAGTGGGCCCTATGAAATGATGGAGCAAGAACAGACCTTTGGTGAGAGGAGATTTTAAAGGTGGAAAAGAAGAGTGCTTGAAGTTACTAAATAGCAATTATTAATGTCCTGGAAATGACTTACATCTCTGTGTTTAAGATTTTCTATTTCGTATCATTTTTCTAAACTATTATAATCAAATTTAAAGAATAACTTCTTAATGATATGTATCTTTTTAGATCCCCAAAGGAAAAACATGCCAACCTACTTTCCAACTCTTCAAAGCTGAAAAATTCGTCTTTTCTGGATGTTCAAGCACTCAGAGTTATAAACCGACTTTTTGTGGACTATGCTTGGATAAGAGATGCTGTGTTCCTAATAAGTCTAAAATAATTACCATTCAATTTGATTGCCCAAATGAAGGGTCATTTAAATGGAAGATGCTGTGGATCACATCTTGTGTATGTCAGAGAAACTGCAGAGATCCAGGAGATATATTTTCTGAGCTTGAGATTCTATAAACCAAGGACATGGGGAAAAATTAAGGTCAGTCGTCATGTCATTACATAACAAAGTTAGAATGGTTTTAAAAAGGTGTCAAATCTACTTTACTGGTTAAAACAGTAAGAATGCCCAACTATTCTCAGATGACTATGTTTACGGCATTAGGAGCTTTTCAAAAGGTTATCCTACAAACGTACGTAAAATTCGAAAACCTTAAAATTGAACTTAATAAAATGTAACTTATATAATACACACTTTATTCCACTTATGTTTTCCATATATAATGGAAAAACTATACAATTTATAAGAAAATATTTTATTCTATAAAATAATCTGGCATACTTTGAAGATATGCAAAAAGCATATTAAAATTTTAAACCTTTATCTGTACTTTAACAATGTAGCCTAGGTTCCACTCAGATGATAATCATTACAGGGTGAGCAAGATTCTACACTAATTCTTAAATAGCAATAAGGTTAAACTGTAAATATATTTATAGTTTTCATTGTCCTGTCCTCAATATGTTTATTAAGATTTCTTTGGGAAGGAGAAAATGGAACTTCATTGGCCACTGTTGACATCCTTAATCTAAAAGTTTTTATACCAAATACTGTAAAAATCTAAATAAAGATGAAGAGCAGTATCCTTTGAAAAGTAACAAAAAACATAACACTAAAGAAAGCACGTAATTGATTATTTTGGCTTGAAAAGAATTTGTTTCTAAAAATTTCTTCCTGAAATGATAAATCAATATGGATTTGAGATGTAAACTGTGATTAAAGATGAATAATTGTTAAAAATTAAAACTGGAGATTATGGTAATTGAAACATTTTCATTAGACTATTATAGCCATTTACTGCAAAGTTTGGAAGACAATATCAAGTTCTGTAATGTTCTGTTCACTTGTATAAATGGTGACAAGCAAAATGATAACAAGTAGCATTGTTTAAAAATATGGACATTTATTATTACAAAATCAACTGGTTTGATAACAAAGTATTATACTTAAAAATAATTTATCACAAATATGTTAAAATAAATGTAAATTGCGATTGAGTGCAAACAAGTGGTTATCCAATGAAGAAACAAAACCTCCTTAATAGTTGTAATAAAATCTATCCCTGAAGTTAGTGGATATCACACAGAAATATTTATATTGTGTTCTTCTACTCTATGAACTTATTTTTAAAGAATCAGGTGAATTTAAACAGAATATGAAAACATAAATTATAAATAAATATAAAAATATATCTGTACAAGATTTTTATTGAAGACGTGATTATTACTGTATAAATGTCTAAATATGAGATTATAAATAAAGTAAAATATTGAAGAACTCTGTTCTTTCAATTTTATTTATTTATTTATTTAGGCGAGGCAACCCTTAGTTGACCTCACAGATTGCAAGGACCTTGTTAGTTTACAATCCCTTATTTTCTTATTTTTATGCCTACAGCACCTGGTCTTCCTAGGTGGTCTCCCATCCAAGTACAAATGAGGCCTGACCCTGCTTAGCTTCCGAGATCAGACGGGATCGAGCTTGTTCAGGGTAGCATGGCCATTGACTGTTCTTTCAATTTTAGAAAAGGAGAATTTTCTGAAGACAAATGTCTGAAGTTTAGGTACTAGGACTTTACAATTTCACACAACAAATTATGATTAAATGGAACTACTTTTTCAGACAAAAATACTCCTAATATGAAAAAGACAAAGTTGGCTTTCGGAATCACAAAAACTATGAAACAGAAAGGTAAGATGACAAAAAGCAATGTGAAATTAAGAAAAAGTAAGAGTATTTTGGGGGCTTTTTACATAGCTATGCTTAGTCTAGGTAAATCTTCTACAGGCATGCTTTTTGTAGCATCTAGTTGGTTATATTCCTGTATGAGTGCTGACAAAGATGACAGAGCTTCTGTAAAACAGCTTTCCTCCATCCCGTCAATTTGTAGATAGTGATGAAGATGAGCCTGTAAATAAAAAACAAAACAAAACTGAATAATATTGTCTATTTTCTGGAAATTTAATACAACTATCCTATAATGTAAATAGTTCACTTGGCTTTACATGAGAAATGAGAACTCAAATCCTATAAACTATTGAGATTTCTCATTTAGATAATCTGAGTAAGCCTCTCCTCTTCAGTTATAATCAGTACAATGAATACAGCAGACAGGATCACCTTGGTTTGTAATAGTGTAATTCTTAAGACTACATCTTAAATAGCCGAAGTTAACACATATAGTTACAAAGTTGTACTGATAATTACCTTTTTCTTGTAGAGCCTCATGAATCTCTCTCTCAGTTCTATGAAGGTAGGCTTCACACACGTGTTATTTGCTAAAGCTAACAATGAATGGGAATGGCCCACAGGAGGTACTGAGCACAGGCTGGTCTTCCAGCCTTCTTGATTCCATGAGACAAATTGTAGAGAAGGTTTTAATCTGAGATACAAAAACTCAAGGTTAAGAATTAATGTACTAAAATATTTGCCATATTATGACAGCCCATTAATTAAACTAGAATGTTACTGATGGCACCATTCTAATTGCTTAGTTTATAATGTAAGTTATCTATTTTTTACTATTAGCAGTATTGTGGTACAGTCTGACAGTGAACTAAGGGACATTTAGTAGAAGGACATTAGATTGGCTATGATGGTGACTCAAAAAACTAGAAACACATTCCTTAACATCAGAAATCTGGGGATGAACAACAGAGTAATTTTCCTAAAAATAGACTGTCAATAAATAGTAAACTATAAACTTAGAAGAAGTGTAATGGTGGTAATAAAATCAATAATTAAATTTTCTGAACACTTTCAGGACATAAGACATCTCATATATCACTTAGTACTTGTAAATAACAATTCTGTACTATTATTATTTTTATTTTACATGTGAGGAGAATAAGGCTCAGAAAGGCTAAGTAACTTGCTCAAGGCCACACTTTAGTTAAGTAGCAATGCTAGAATTAGAAGAAGACCATTGTAACTACTATGTTACACTGTCACAAGCAGTACACATAACAAATTATCTTGAAAAAATATGAAATCAAACCTTTCAATATTTCTGCGAAGATCTGAAATCTGGACATTTCCTCTAACCATGAGGGCACACGCAAGGTAGAGACTATGTTTGGGGTCAGCCTGAATTAGCTGGTGATCTTTGCTAAAGGCATCTGAAAACATCTGATCCAACCTAGAACAATGAAAGGCACTGTTTATACAAAATATTATTTCTTTCTTCTATGTAGAACTATAAAATGAAAAGACAGACATCTATAGGTAAATAAACTTCACATACAAATATATTCTAAATCTTAGCTATCATTTTCTCAAAGCAATCTTTTATGGAATATGAGAAGATAGGAAATAATATAACATCTTTGTTTTTTTTTTTTTTTTTTGGAAAAGCTTCTGCAATATAGTGATTTCAGATAGCTATAGCACTGATTTCTGAAACTTGATTTCTGAAACTTGGGTCATTACTTATTTTATATGCTTATCTACTTCATAGTATCAGAACTATCAAAACTAATTGAAAGCCTACACTTAAGATTACCCTATCTCTGTAAAATACATCATAAATTAGTTATAATTAAGAAGAACCTTTCAAAAGACAATGTTAGGCACTTCTATAAAAGAAGAAACTCTGTAGTAGTGTTCCTGAAAAGAAAGACTTCCAAGTGAATGGTCTTTTAATTCCATTCTTTAATCCTTCAGTTAAAGAAAAGATACGGTGACTGACAAAGTTTATATCTAATGATACATAGGCGTGTAGGTCCTTAATACGGTTCCAGTCTGGGTCTTAAATCTTAATTCAATACAAATATGACTAGGTTCTTTAGATAACTCTAGCCAAAACCAAAACCATTCTCACTTGTTTGGAAACTACTAAGAGATTAAAGAGTTTAAAACTATGCTTTTTAATAGCACAATTTTAAAACGATATATTATTTACTCAAGGATAAATATGTGCACATGCTGATATGGCAGACTTTGAAATATCTACAATACAGAAGAAGCAAAAAGAAAAAAAAAAGGAAAAAGAAGAATATAAATATAGAAAGAATGTTGTGACAAGTTCCTTAAGAGTCTAACATTTTTAAAGTTCCTTATAGATTTTCATTAACACAATTAAAAACAAACCTTCAAAACAAATGATATAAAAATATGCCCAGCAGGATTTTAAAAAAGTTTAATTGGCTTTAAAATATGCAGAGTGAAGAACCAAGTCAAACTTTTTTCCCTCTATGGTGGACTTTAATTAGAATTTACATATCTTTTATTTTTTAAGAATTAACATTAAATACAAAAATGTCTGGATTATCACTATTGTACAATAAAGAGTTCTATGTGTCTATGTTAAAGGTATACATTATATTTCCATACACTAATTTTTAATATGCTGGGCTGACAACAGTGAACATTTAGTGAATAATTATGTTTCATACACTGCATAGGTTGCTTAACTTGTTAAGGTCATCGGTATCCTACGCTGAAAAAGAGTCCTGTTAGATAACTGGTTATTTGTTACTGACTCAAAAAAAAGTTAATATCACTGTGACATTCCAGCAGTACAGAATTGTTATCTTGCTAAAACTTAAAGCTATTAAAAAAAAAATCTTTAATCTAGTGTTTATCATTTACATACTTTCTTTTTACAGAGCTTGAACAGGACCTTTTCCCTCAGTTAACTGTGAATGCCAGTGTGAACTTTTCAAGCTCATCATCACTGTATATGCTTAAGAGTATCTTCCAACAACTTTTTTTGTTAAGTAAATTCATGTAAGTTTTATGCTTAAAAATGACATACAGTCTGTTACAAAACAAGGTGTTCTGGAAATGATCTATAATAATCTCTAATGATCTATAACAGCTACCATACAGAGTGACATCGGAAAGCCTTCTACGGTGCTAAACTGTGTGATAAGAGCTTTAAAAGATACTCTTATTTAATATGTCTAACAAGCATATGAGGTAGGCACTCCAACTTTCATTTGTACAGATTAAAACTAAAAGTACTGGCAAATTTGCTACGAGTAAGTGAGACGATCAGGATCCAGACTTAAGTATATCAGACTTCAAAGCCCTTAAATATTTTCTATTTGCATAAGCTTAAAAATTTAGTTATTAGATTTAATTTCAAATAGTTTAATACTGACTTTTCAAATAATGACTTCTAAATAAAGAAGCATTCCTATGATGAAAAAACAGCTGTCATCAACTGTATTTTATATACTTCTCACATAGAAAATGACATGAAGAAATAACTAGGGTTTAACTTTTCTCTTAAAATTTTTTTTAAAGTAATTCAAGTTCTCAAGTAATTGGAATAAAGTTACTCTTACCTTCGAGGAGGAATATTGACATCTGCCAGTGTATAGAGAGGTGTTAAGCTTGACACAAGATAATGCAATTGAGGAAAAGGAACTAAGTTCATGCTGATTTCATTAAGGTCCATATTAAGGGATCCTTCAAACCTCGCAGAGCTAAAAAATCAATATTAAAGGATGAGATAAAATTTAATTTTAAAATTAAATTTGGATGTAGCTTTGAATGTAAATTTTGGATGTAGCTTGATTTATTTCGCAGGCGTTTTCTTAAATGCTTTCATACCCTGTTCTTCAGTATGCTCTTTTTCCTATATTAGTAAAATTTAGTATCACGAAAATGCTGTGTAAAGATAATTAAAATATAATACAACATCTATAGCAATTCTTATTTCTAGGTCACTTGAAGTGTAACTAACACACTAACACAGTTGCTCACTATATATATAAAGAAATGTTAAAACTCACTTTAGATTGAGTTAAACACATATAGGTCAATAATTATTTCATTACTGTAAACTTAATAAATTCCCCAAGGGTCTGCTTAATACACTCTCGAATCTGGAATATAATAATGCCAAAGCGATCTTTTAGATAAAAGGAAATATTTTGGACCAGCTAATGAGGAGGCATAGATTAGCTGGTTTAAAAGATTAAGACATTCTACAGCAAAAAAAAAAAAAAGTTTATTTTTGTCTAACCAAGTGCTTCTCAACTGTATATTATGGGGAAATATTCTGCTGCTTTAGACTCATAGCAATTAAAACTCTGGTCTATCACTCAAAGGTCTGACAACACTAGACAAAATAAAAGAAGCTCCTACAACTCAAGAACAACTAAAACAATGCTACTATGAACATCATCAAAAACATAATGAAGTATTTAAACTATCTTGATATATACTGTCCATAGAATTACCTTGTTAGGTTGAGCAGCAAATTTGCTACAATGTTGTTCATTGCATCAAAGGGCTTCTGCTGCTTTTTAAAAGCCCCAGCACTGGAAGTAATCAGACTCTTTGGCTTTACAGTTGTACCCAACCTTCCAGAATTCACCA